TTTATAATGGCAAATGATACTTTGAATATTACATGTTAATAACTTGATTGGAATTATAACCTTGAATTGACAGTTTGATACTTTGAAAATTTTGAGCCAGCCCTACCCCCAAGGGCTGTAGGGTGGGGCTCAAAGGAGTCAGTGTGCTAAAATTTCTTCATTTTCCTTGTTAAGAATCAGAGGTGCTAGTTTCAAATCCTTTTTAGTCTGAAATCTGTATGCTAGATATTGAATAAGGTGGTTTTATTGTTTTTTGTCACTTTGAATAATATTTCTGTTTATGTTAAAAACAAAATCAACTTTCTGTATAAATATATCAGGTGACCGTTAAGGCCCATGGGCCTCTTGTTATACATGTGTCCCCCACCTCCCCATATGATTAACTAAGGCCTAAGGTGGCTGGATTGTGAAATAGCTAGCTTACTTTGGCACTTTGAAATAGAAAAAGACCAATCTGCCTCAAAACACTGGCTTGATAGTTAGACAACTGTAGTGTTTTGCAGTCCCAACTATATTTCAGACGTAGTGAAACCAAACTTTCAATAAGGAAAATCTTTAATACTGTATTTATTCTTGAAGAATCCCATACCTGGTATAAAGCCAACCCATATGTATTGTAGTTCTGTAGATCTGCTAACAGGAGTTGTGTCAACATCTTGTAATATCTCCTTCGTTGAGCAGAGATTATGTTTTGGCCTTACGTTTACTTAAGGATACATATCTACTATTGCTGTTAAATCAAACATACCTCTCACTACAGGATACATCATCATCATCATCATTATCTACTGATGGCAATGGAGTGGTTCCAAGGTCTCATATGGACAATACTGACCAGAAGATTATACTGCAGCTTAGGTAAGCTTCTATTGGACTTAACATCAGTTATAGGGCCAGCAAACTTGGTAAGGTTGTACATAGTGAATTTGAAAACATTTTCATGTAGGATATCAAAGTTTTACTTTCTACATAAACATTGTTTTCTACACAAACAATGTTTTCTACGCAAACAATGTAAGTATTAAAACATTGTTCGTGTAGAAAGTAAAACTTTGGTGTATTACATATTTCATGTAGAGTTGAATGAAATATCTCCAACTGGTCAGACTTTGTTTGGGAATCGTGCTTGTCAGATTACTGGTATAATGCCTTATAACCCATGTTCCAAAATCCAAGATGCCCATTATTTTTCTCATTGTTATTTTGGGTCAAAGAAATAAACGATAACAGCTTTTTCTGTTCAAAATGAATCCTTTGTTGAAGTAATATTTGGTGAGTCAGCATGCACATCTCTACCTCTAAATTTTGATTTGGAATTCACTTTACCGGGTATTATCACTTTTGACAATAAAGTCATTCAGATTTTAAGCAGATATTTTGTCAGGTATATACTTAAATGTTTTACAGAGAGAGGATAGAAACATTAGAAAAACAACTGGAGAAGACAGAGGAGGAAAAATACATCCTTGAGTCTAGAATGGAACAGAGACACCTCCAGGTAAGGATGTTAGGATACTGTACATCAAATTATTTGATGCCTGGTAAAATTGTATTAATGTGAGAGGGGAGAAAAAGTCTGGAAATATATTTTATTAACAACAGAATATGTATCTGTAATAATTTATTGCTCATTTCGCTTATTTTTGTTTTGTGAAAAGTAGTTTCAAGTGGTTTAGTAGAATTATTTTTATTTACCAAAAAAAATTAAGTGTAGAATACTGCAAATATAATCATCGTTAGTTTGTGTGTGTTACAAAATAAGGCTCTGTTGACTGGAATGTCTAGTTGTGTTGTGATTGCACCTCCTCTTTCTGTGCCATAGCAATCACCCGATATATTTCCAAGGCAAATCACCTTATACCTACCTGGTAGCGAGTGATTAGAATCAATGTGTAAGCTCCTGTTCCATTCTTTTGTTATATGTTTTAGTATGCTGATGTTGTTGTACACATGACAAGATCTCATACAGTTATTTTTGAAATTTACGAACTGCCTTTGTTGTCAGGGCGACTTTGATCCTACCAAGACAAAAGTGCTACACTTCAGTATGAACCCAGTGGCTTTGGCACAGGCTAAAAAGAAGGAAATCATCACAGAACTGACGGAGGAAAACGAGAAATTAAAACACCGCCTGAAGCTGCTAGAAGAATCGGAGGGGAAGGTAGATGACCTCACTATGCAAGTTGAACAGAAGATGGAGGAACCTTGCTCGAGTAAAGAGATTGATGGTGGGTTCAGAGGATTTCATCCACCTGTGTCTCTAGAGATCATGAGGAAATTTTATCTCCTGATATGGAACTGTAAAGTTCGGTCTTTCTAGTGTCGAAGCTGGATACACCCAGTATGGGCAATTACTTGGGAACCAATGTCTCACTTAGCGGCATTTATATGTCGTCATATCTGTGTTCTGTAGAGATTTACAAAGCAAGACAGCAGTCACAACCTGGTGACGGAATACAAAATCTATCATTACTGCCTGATGTAGACAAAAAAATCTTCACTCTTTTTGCACTTGTTGCACATTAAAAAAATCTTATCCTTTGGTTGTGATCTTTGTATGCCTTGGGAGAGCCTCAGCATAGACAGATAAAATTTGGTCATTGTGTTAAGAGTCTTTACATCCTTTGGTTAAGATTTTCCTGACCCTTGGCAGAACCTTGGTGTAAACTTACAGAATCTCTCACCCCTTTGGGGGTGGAGATAGGGAAATCTCAACCCGAGGGGGAAGATTCTTAAGTTGCCAAACATGAGGGGTGAGAGATTCTTTTTCTCTCACCCTGTTCCTATTCTGTAGCGTATACATATTTTAATGTTAAAGTTACAGGCTAAATTTAGGGTTGAAGTGATGTTGATGGATTGTTGTTGTGACGTCATTGTATTGTTGACGTGACATCATACCCTAGGGTGAGACAAGGATATCTCACACTGGTAAAAGTGCAGATACACCTGTCCAGGGTAAGAGAAAGTAAAAATCTTATCCTTGGATTGAGATTTTCATACCCTTTGGCAAAGCTTCATTATTGACAGTACAAATCACCTCCTTAGGTTGAGATTTTCCTGTCAGCATTATCCAGTCATCATTGACTACTTTCTCCTGCTCTTAGAACTTACTTATAAGTCTTTGTTCAAGAAAGCCACCATGTAAAAATACCAGGCATGTGTGCTAAGACTGATGGCATGATCTTTATATGATAAGGGAATGCTACATGATGTAGTGATATGTCACCCTATTTCTGTCTTTCTCTCGAATGGGATACCTTTTCACTACTTAAATTATGTGTATGATTCTGTGAAGTGAAGAAATTTATATCTTGCACGGTATTTCATATGCTTGAACATGTACATACCTTGACAAATTGTTACGCAAATTGTGAACATATTTTATCAAAATATACTAAATATAATTATATTCTGCTAATGCTACCCTCAATTTGATTGTCTCTCTCCCATATCACTCCATTGTTTTTTGTTATGAATAGTTATTTAAAACAGGTTTGTAGAAATATAAATTGTACAAAAAATAGAATGCATTTCTATTGAACTTGTAATTATATGAATTACTATCATATCTTACAGGTTTGAAGGAGCAATTGTCTAGAGAAGAGACCAAGAATAAGAGACTCATGGAGGTGTTTAAAAAGACTAGTCAGGAATTTCGGGAGGTGTGTTACCAGTTGACTGGCTACAAGATTGACATTTTGTCGTCCAATCAGTACAAACTCACGAGTATGTACGCTGAATCACCTGAGGACTTCTTCCTCTTCCAGGTAAATGTGTACTCATTTCTGTGGCCTGTCATATCTTGGTTTTGGCTTAATATTTATTAGTGTAGGGATTGTCTCAGACGTCTGTATCCCTTTATTGTACAACTTTATCTTGAGCCAGATATTGGATATTGTGAGTCAAAGAAATATATTTTGTCTATGACTTGTAAGAATATGTGCATGACGTTAGCAATGATAAAGAGAAAATAAAAGGAGAAAATATTTTTTGTCAGTAGTCTTACATATCGAGATATTTTTATGCCAGATATTTAGTTTTTGAGTTTTTCAGACATCTTGTTCAAACGATGTCAGTACATATGTTGTGAATCTCAAAATTTGGGAGGAGGAAAGATAATAATTTAAATTTGTACAGTGCTGAAATTGTTGTTTGTCATTATTTCAGCAAAGTTCCAGTGGGGAGGTACAGATGCTGGGAACAGACTTCTCTAACACTCTGGAGGAGGCTATAGAACTTTACCTGGCTAAACAGGACAGTATTCCAGCCTTCCTCAGTAGTATTACACTCAATCTGTTCAGCAGACAGACAATGATGATTGGCTGACCTTCACCTACAGTGACCTTGATGACCTTCAACCAAAATACTTCATTAAGCGTGTAACAACAGACACTATGATGACAGGCTGGTCTACACAGAGAAGTGACCTTCTCAGTTAAACTTACTTTTGAACGCCAGTTTATATAGTGGATTATGATTGGCTGACAAAAGGAAAAATCTTCACAGCAAGAGCCAACCTTAAGAGTTCAGTGGATAAGCTCTGGTAGTCAGAGCTCCATAGGTGGAACATTCAAGATCAGAATGACCTCCACAGCTTCACTGACCTTCAAATGACATGTGACTTGTGAATCAGTACACTAATAGGAACTACATTATAACTCCTTTGTCGTGTTGCCTGTGTTATAGATTTTTATCACACAAAATCCACGTATAGAATTCTGATAATACAGGTAGATGCACTTGAATAGACAAGATCATGATATCTGTTCAGCTGTATGCTTTATATCTTATTTCTCAATCAAAGATTATGGTAGACACGTGTTGATCTACATGTGAAAACTGGTAATTTGGTCCTGAAAGAATCCTGTCCATGATAGTGAATTCCCAGTACAGAAACATTAACCTTGACTTCCGTCACTTACATCATAAGCTTCATAACTCTTTTTCATCTTCATCCCATGCTTAATGTCTCTTTGTCATCTAAATCACAAGTTCGAGTTCTCATCCCATGGAACTGTGAATCCCAGTTTCATGAAAATAATTCCAATTATTTTTGCTGGTTTGAATATGCAACAGCACAGTTGCATTATACATGTTATAACAAATTGGATAATGGAATTCATGATTGACTTTTTACTGACAGGAATTCACACACAAAATAGATCTTGTGAAACGTGATTTACAGTAAAACCATGAAGATTGGAAATAACTCTTTAGATCATCATTGGGAGAGAATTCTGCTAAGAAGTTCTTTTTCTACTGACACATTATTGGTGTTAGGGTAATCATATTTATAGTAGAAATCAGATTCAGAGCAAACATTGCAAAGAATTGTGTGCTAGTTGATGATTGTCACTAAGGGGCATTATCATTTAATGCTTAACCCATGTCAATCAATGCAAATGAGCTTATGCTATAAGTGTTATAATAGACATTACTGGAAAGCAGATATATAATTTTCATGGATGTACTTCTTGAGGGAATCGTTCTGAATTCTTGATAGATCATATAAAGCATGGTGTCATTATTTTACTCGATAGAAGCCGATTGCTTTTATAAAAGTGATATGTGGATGGAATTTTATTTGTTGTTCTTTTTATTTACATGTTTCAATGAGATTGTGTTGTGTTCTGTCTGTACATTAACATTTTGTCTGGATAACAACTCCCTCAGTTTCAGTCTCATTTCCTTGAAACTTAATAACATTTACTGCCACCAAAAGTACTTGCACATGTGTAGCAGACATGTTGACTTGTTTAACTATTTGCAGAGTTATTTCCCTTTGTGTTACTAACTTGACATTCAACAATTGTCTCAGTTTCCGTTAGTGTTATTGCCCTTTGTGCACTTGTTTCTGTAGTCTACTACTAAGTGTCTACTCTGAAAGTGATCGACCCTCATGGCCTACCCAGTACAATCTATTGACCTGACAAGTACCAACCTGACCTATCGTTGACTATGGAGGTACAAGCAGTGTTAATATGATACACAATCTTGTCAGGTATGTTTTATTTAACATTTTCATTATTTGAATTTTGACCCCTTGCAATGGCCTTGACCTTAAGGGTAATAATTACATGTGGTATGCAAGACAATTTCTAGTCAAAATATATTCAATTAGTAATTAGTAATTAGTATTTTCGAATTTATGACAAAGCAATTTTCTTAAAATGTTTAGAAACAAAAGCAACACTGTTTTTGCACTAAGGAGACTTTATTAGATATCACAGACAAGATAACAACACAACTACTTCAACATAATAATGAACTCATAAAATTTAAAAGTCGAGATTTTTTTTCTTCGGTTGTAGCTCTCATTGTATAGAAATGATGTAGAAACACCTGTTCAATGCACTAATTAGATCAATGATGTTCCTGTGCAGGTCATTGAAGCACTACTTCTCTCCCTATAAATAAAGGCAAACTGACTTCGTTCAATCTTTGGTAACACTAGCATACAAGTAGATATAGTCTTGACAGTGGTTTATACATCATTTCCATTACGGTGGGTAATCCATAAAATGGTAAACAATGTAAACTCTATCTCCGGAAACATTTGATTTCAAAATATATGTCGTGAAACATAATCACATTGGAAAAGTCACTTTAACACTTGCTGAAAGGTGTCAAATTAAATGAAATATAATAACTGGATATATAACATATAATTTATGCCAAAATTTTGATATTTTTTAAAGGAATATATTGTTACAGTTAAGGTCTGTTTTGCAACATGTAAGTGATATTTATTCAGATGTTTAAGCTATGCAACAAATTTGACACCAAAATTGTCTTAAAATTCTTTTGGTATGTACTTGTTAAGCACGTTAAAAATGTATACAAAAGCATGCCTGGTATTTTCATACAGGATGATAAAAACTGCTGGTCATAAATGTACATCATAAATTACATACAAATAGTTCTGTAAACGGTAAAACCAGATATTTCTTTGGATATGTTGTGTACTTCTAGAAAAAACGGTGAAATGCTTTTGCTTATAAAGTTGTTCTATGCATATAATAAATTCAAATTCATTTTGTGACTGAATACCATTTAAGTTGAAATAATTTCATTGGGACTCTTTATTTGTTAAAAGTTTGTGACGAAATCATGTACAAAATGGATCTTTTCAAAAGTTTACAAGATGATACGACCAGAAACAGGATAATCTGACAAAACTGACGCTCAAGTGGTTTTCTCAATTTGCAGGCAAATTGGTCCCTTTTGTCAATGTATAATTTCACAAACTAAACGGGACTATCCAAAAGGGGGATTGTAGAGAAATCTATGCGAGGCAATTTACAAATAGGGTGAAATGTATGAATGACACTGAATAGCTACTGACAAGGGTAATCCTGAGGTATGTTCAAAGAATGACAACATTCTGGAACTTTTGTGAAAAAAATGTTTGTTGATCCTTTGATTGAAGAGGGGTCATTGCAACGTACTAACAGGGAAACTCTTTTCCTTATAAATGCACCCCTGGTTCTAATTATTTTATATTTGTAAAGAATATTGTTTTATTGTTAAATGTTTCCCACTTAATGATACTGCATACTTTATACATATTCCTTATTATGGTCCATGTTGAATTTGCCCTCTTACAGTAAAAATTGTGTTAATTGGGGAAAACCAGTTTCTAAAAATTCTGAAAATTTTCCAGAAGTTGTCCTCCTGCCATTCGAATAAAAGTCTGGAATAGCCCAAATATAATTATAATATGAAATAAAATATGCTGGTCAAGTTTATTTTTTCAATGTTTAAATGTTCATTCCTGAAAGAAATTGTTTGGACCTTAGATTTCCTGTCATTGAATAAAAGTTGACAGTTATACAGTTTTAATTTTGAGGACACACACATATATAAATTTACAACTTAAATTAATAATGTTACAACAAGGATGATCGTGTATTTGTTCACAACAAGCTATACATGTATCGATGAAATCAAAAGACAACAATCACCAGGAATATTACACATTAGATTAAAATGTTCTAATTTTGACCAGCCACAAGGAAAATAAAAATAATTCCTGAGTATTTCACCTTTGTTAGAAATGTTATCAAAATGGAATTAATACAAAAGCATTATTTTACTGAGGATAGTCAAGTGATTGTCACTTTTGTATATTTAGTTTAGTAACTTTCGCATAAATGAACAGGCCCCAAGTTTGCAGTGAGAACAAAATGGCTGCACTTCTTATTGGCTGGTCAGATATATGAACTTCCATCACTAATGGAAAAGTGTTTTGAGGCGTTTATCTTTTCAAATCTTCAACTCATTGAAAAATAATTGAACGTGCAAAATTTGAACACTTTACAATGATTGAAGAAGAGTTTATATCAAATGTCAACCTGATGTTGTATTGGAAAACAATGAAACAGTTACATAATAATCACTAACAATAATCACTAACAATGGTAAATTCTTGGTAAACTCTTTCAATTGCAAATTATATTTCAATTAAATAAAAATTGAATCCTTCAGGACACACCACTGCTGCTATGGTACTTATGATCAATTGTAAAATCTAGGAATTGTAACTGAAATTCTACAAAGTGTACAGTATATGAACAACAAAGTTGTTTATTGCACTTCTTTTGAAAAAACACCAACCATGGCAGTTTTCACAACAAGCCAATCTTGATCTAACAACCATTCAATGCATCTAAATATTTTTTCATTTTCAATGAACGCAAGTGCTAAAAACATTTTTGACACAATTTTTTTTTATGTCCATAATGTGTTATAATTGATATACATGTATTTTAAAACATTACAAAATGTCTTAAATATATTTAATGACATATTTGATTTTTTTTTTTCTTTCTATCTTGTCATTTTATCAAGAAAATGATTTTTGTTCCAACTACACATGTAAAATATTAAAAAAGAAAGGAAAAAACCCTTATGATGAGAATACAAGTATATGGACACTCTAAATTGATTTTTAAGTATGTCTGATTTGAGATTTGTAACAACAAGGATTTACGGCAGATTATTTAAATATCATAAAAACTACACTTAAAAGTAAACAAACCCTGTTGAATGGGAAATAAAATAAAGCGTAAGACAGATTCATGAACAAGTAAAAGCATCCCCCTTTTGGGTATCCATATTAAATTTAATTTAAAGTACATCATATTTTCAAATAAAGCATAATTTTTTATCAATACCACCCATAACAAGAGAGAGTACTCTGCGTATTCTTCACATCATAACCTTTGTGACTTGACTAGTAAACCCATATAAATAAATGGTAACTTTAATTGAAATATAAACATTTCATAACAATAACATTTTAGATCATAATGCTTTATCATGCCTTAACCATTGGCCTAAGTGTTGTTTCCCTATCAATTCTTTCAATGTTTTCATGAATTGAACCAGGAAATATTTTAGGAAATATTTTTTGGGGAACGTTTTTGGTAAATGTTTCTCATGTACCGGGTTAATATAGTTACAATGTACCCAGGTATATAGAGGTACTATGTATTAGGGGTGATATAATTACCATGTATTGGGGGTCATATAGTTACCACGTATTGGGGGTCATATAGTTACCATGTATTGGGGGTCATATAGCTACCATGTATTGGGGGTAATATAGCTACCATGTATTGGGGGTCATATAGTTACCATGTATTCGGGGGCATATAGTTACCATGTATTGGGGGTCATATAGTTACCACTTATTGGGGGTCATATAGTTACCACGTATTGGGGGTCATATAGTTGCCATGTATTGGGGGTCATATAGTTACCATGTATTCGGGGGCATATAGTTACCATGTATTGGGGGTCATATAGTATCCATGTATTGGGGGTCATATAGTGACCATGTATTGGGGGTCATATAGATACCATGTTTTGGGGGTCATATAGTTACCATGTATTGGGGGTCATATAGTAGCCATGTATTGGGGGTCATATAGTGACCATGTATTGGGGGTCATATAGATACCATGTACCCAGGTAATAGAGTTGTGCCATGTGGTAATATAATTACAATGTACCCAGGTATATAGAGGTACCATGTATTTGGGGTCATATAATTACCATGTACCCAGGTAATAGACTTACCATATATTAGGGGTAATATGAGTCCATGCACCAAGGTTGTGCACTGGGGTAAAATAGGTTCCATGTACCCAGGTAATAAAGTTATATATTGTGGTAATATTACTACCATGTATCCAGTTGATATAGTTACCATGTACCTAGGTAATAGAGTTATATACTGGGGTAATATTACTACCATGTATCCAGTTGATATAGTTACCATGTACCTAGGTAAAATATCAACCATGCAATAGGGTAGTAGTTACCATAATGTATCCGTGTTAAGCCCAGGGGCTAGTCCCTAGAAAAGGTAGTAAAATGAGGGCTTAATATAATACTTATTTCTTATGTTTTAACAATGGGGTGGGTTTATTACTGAACACATGTTTATCACAATTATTTCAAATGCCAACCCTCAAATAATATGTGAATGGAGCAGCTACAACATCATTATAATCATAGGATTCAGAATATGACTTGACCTAATTGTTTGCTGTACCTGGAGCATTCTGGCCTAATATCTTTGTTCCAATGCACATTTTCTTGGGTTAGTTTGGATTTAGCTCTAAAACAGTTGTTCACAAGGTGACAAACTGACATCTAATAAAAAGAATTCTATTCCAGAGAGTAACTAGATTACACATTAAGAAGATATGGCTAAACAGACTTCCCTTCTACCACATGATCAGTTATTAGTGTGTTAGTTCTTACAAAAATTCTAGTCAAAATGCAATTGATGAATAGAAAGGGAATGTCATATATACTGAATAATGCCCCGTAACCATGTGCTATCTTCTTTATCTAGCCTTAAACCTTCCATGAAATAAACAGAAAGAAGAAAAATTCCACATATCTTGAAAAGGGTCTTTGAAAAATAATGAGTCATTTTTCTGTCAACATCTTTTAAATTCATTCTATCAGAATATGATGCATGGTGTTGAGGTATGACGATTTTTAACAAAATTCAACCCCAATGCTTTTGCTGCTGTTTAAGACTTGAATAATGGTGGAATGTATTTGTGGTGGAACTTCAAATCTGTTAATTGATTAATTCATGAAAGTCATATAGTGACAAATCTGGAAATATTTCTGAACTTCTATTTACTAAAGTTTGTATGATAGTGACTAGTTAGTGAGATCCTTTCATCATACAACTTCCTTTTAAATATTCGAACACAATAGAACAACAGGTTAACACAGCAAATGTTTGTCGTAACATTTTCTATGCTGGCCCAACTTTTCATTGTATATTGATCACCTAGTGCCATACATTTTGTCCCCAAAAGCTGATTAAACAATAGCTCAGGCAAAGCCTGTCATGCATTCAAAACGTTTAATTAACCCAGGTACTGGCGGTCTTCGAGGACTTTCTGTAGACGTTCAAGGTAGTCAGCATACTCAGCCTCACTCATCCCACCCTTGTGCATATTTTTCAAACCTTGCCTTCCACTTCCAGGTCGTCCAAACCCCATTTTCTTAAAGCAAATCAAAAGATTAAGTTTAATTTAATGATTAACACAACTAATGTGATTAGAGTTATTTTCGTTAAAATGATTTCATTTACATTTTCTCATTATTCAGAGTTACCAGGGCTGCTTTTCTTTCATTGCAATCCAAACAGTTGAACCAGTCGGACCAGAGTTGTTTGTTTATGAAATAAGGTCAGACCTATTAATCTGATGTTGCTTTCAGGCGAGCCTTGATAAAGCCTTGCAAGGTCTGCGTAAACATTTGCAGGTCCGCCAGGATTTATACCCGAAAATGTTTCATTTAAAAACAGACAAACCGGTTGTTCTGCTTAAATGAACAGGTCCCAGCAGTATTATGTCTTTTCAAATGTGTCAAAAGTGAATCACCATAAGAAAGTCTTATACTGTTCATAAAACATATTACAGGTTTTTGTCTTTTTTAATGGAGATGCATGTCAGAACAAGATAGCAGAAAGCCTTAAATATACCATATACATGTATCATTTATATCAACAGTGACCTCACTTCTCTGAATCAGATACTGGCACCAAATACAGAACATTTTAGTAAATGGTAAATGCTTGACACCAATCAATTTAGTCCTTTTCATCCTAAAGACTAAGGTTATTATAATACTTAACACAGATCATGTGATTTACATTTTCTGTTAATTCAGAGTTACCAGTAGTATTATGTCCTTTCAATGTGTCTTAACTGAATCATCATAAGAAAGTCTTATGACTGTTCATAAAACATATCACAGGTTTTCGTCTTTTGTAATGGAGGTGCATGTCAGAACAAGATAGCAGAAAGCCTTAAATATACCATATACATGTATCATTTATATCAACAGTGAGCTCACTTCTCTGATATCAAATACTAGAACTAAATACAGATTATTTAGTAAATGGTAAAATGCTTGACACCAATCAATTTAGTCCTTTTCATCCTAAAGATTAAGGTTGATATAATTCTTAACACAAATCATATGATTGGAGTTATTTTCTTGAAAAGGATTTCATTTACATTTTCTGATAATTCAGAGTTACCAGCAGTGTTATGTCCTTTCAAATGAGTCAAAACTTCATCATCATAAGAAAGTCTTATGATTTTTTTTAAAATCAGAGGTTTCTCTGAGTGGAAGTCTTTTGCAATGGAGGTGCATATCAGAAGAAGGTAGAAGAAAGCCTTAAATACACCATATACATATATCATTTATATCAAAGGTGAGCTCAGTCCTCAGATATCAAATACTGGTAAATGGTAAAATGCTTGTCAATTTGGTCCTTTTTATCCTCCCACTACTATCAACACTAATCCGTAATTTCAGAGAAGTAGTTTTTTTAATTAGTAATTACCATATTTCCCTGTGACCTCTCTGGCATCAGAACAAAGTCTAGTTTCAGAGCTTCATGGAGAGGCTGGTTTTGGACAACCACTCTCTGTTGCTGACTGGTGTATCCTGGTTTTTCAGCTACGATCATGTAGGCACCATCGACAAGCAGACGATAGTAGTCGCCACCCTCGACTGAAATCCACGAGTAACATTATTTAGTGTAATATAATAAAATTCCAAAAAGGAGAGATGCTTGAAATTACATAATAATAAGAAAAGATGAGCTACATGTATAATCAAATGGCAACATCACTTAGAATTCAGCATATTTTGTTTCTCTTTCGTCATCACTGTCCATTTTGGAGTAGCAGAATACCAAATCCGAAGTAATCATAATAAATAATAATAATGATTCGAGGTTCTTATATACAGCTTTAATTATATTCATTTAAATTCAATATCTTTCTCAACACCCTGGGGAGCATACAGCCAGTGCTGCCATTTCGGCGCTCACAGTTAGCATTCAACAATTCTAGCACTGCCCAACCACGTACTCATTTACGGCCGAGTAGACTGGAACAAGCGGAATAAAGTATCTTGAAAGATACAACACAGTTCAGTTGCGTGAATTAAACCCGCAACCCTTCGGTCATGAGCCCGGCGTCCTACCACTAGACTACTGTGCCTCACAAGTAACAGAACTATAGATACCCTGTCCCATATCGTTGATTACTGTATCTCCCTTGATACGTCACGTCAACAATGAAATAACATCACATTACCAATGTATTTAGCCTGTAACATCAACATTACATTATGTATACATATGATAGGGTAATTTGGGTAAGAGAAAAGGAAATCATTCACCCCATTGAAGTGAAATTGGGCAAAGCCTTGTGTTTGGCAACTTAAGAATCTTTCCCCTCAGGTTGAAATTCCCCTATCTCACCCCCAAGGGGGTGAAAGATTTGATTAATCCCCGATATATTGATAGCCACAGTACTCGATACTTACAGGTGGTGATGTCGTGGTCTATGTATGTCCAGCCATTCTTCGTTTGCGGTGTGGATTTGTACACTTTAATAGGTACGTCCTTAAGTGGTTTGTTGGTCGCACCATCTGTCACTACTCCCTTCACTCCAATGTGGATCTGAAAACAAACATCAGTTCTAAGTAAACCTCTATTGAGTTTATAAGAAACTGTTCATATTCAGTGGTAGTAGGACTGCAATCTGTCTATCTAGATAAGGATTGTGCAATCGGTATATATTTAATTACAGGATTGTGCAATCTGTATATATTTAATGGCAGGATTGTTTAATCTGTATATATTTAATTACAGGATTAAGCAATCTGTATATATTTAATTGCAGGATTAAGCAATCTGTATATATTTAATTGCAGGATTGAGCAATCTGTATATATTTAATTACAGGATTGTGCAATCTGTATATATTTAATGGCAGGATTGTGCAATCTGTATATATTTAATTACAGGATTAAGCAATCTGTATATATTTAATTGCAGGATTGTGCAATCTGTATATATTTAATTGCAGGATTGAGCAATCTATATATATTTAATTACAGGATTGTGCAATCTGTATATATATTTAATTGCAGGATTGGTCGATCAGTATATATTTAATTACAGGATTGTGCAATCTGTATATATTTAATAGCAGGATTGTGTAATCTGTGTATATTAAATTGCAGGATTGGTCAATCCGTATAATACGCAGAAAACCCCAGCTGGAGTGGGTTGCTACGATAGCCATGGTTTCTAGGGTTATATAGTTTCAGTGAATCTACATTGATATATGAGTAAATTTAGAAAACCCACGGTGAACAACACTATTTTTCTTCTTTTCATAGCTTCCATGGCTTATTTTCTGCCTGATAAAATCCTCTTTAAAAGTTTTAATAGGTTGTTTGTTTCATCCTTATCATGGACTTATTACAAGTATAGCACATTGTTTAACTGCCTTAATATGTAATATAGATAAGAGACAGTTTTATCATATTTTTTATGTAACAAAATATATCCATGATGTTGCTACGCTATGATTATCAAGTCTCACCTGCAACATGAAGTTGATTAGTGACTCTTTGTTCTGTGTCCAATATTTTGCCTCGTCCTTGGGGAACTTGTCACAACCTAGTTCCACCGTGATCTCAAAACAGTTGCTTGCAGCATAGTTAAAGTCCTGCATACCTACAACACAAAATTGACTGACATTATAATGTCATTACATTATAGTAGTTTCAAAACACTGAGTTAATGACCAATGCTTATTCATAAACATGAACTTTTCATTCTGAAAATAATGAAAATAATTGACTACAAATTGCAAATTAAGTTAATAGTCCAAACTGCATGTTCAACTTTTTTAAAACTATCTGACTACAAATTGCCAATTAAGTTTAAATTCAAAATTGCATGTTATTTTTTTTTAAACTATCTAGATGTATCTGAAATGCCCTTCAGAAGGCTTCAGCTTTCCTTTCCTAGATTTAGTCCATTTTTAGTACAGACATATTATTCGGTATCACAAATTAACATACTTGCACTAGGAACTGTTTAACATCCAAGTTCTGCTTTATTGCAGTGATTTATGTAACAATGCCACACAAAACCATTAACCCCTTTCACCCCTATGTACCCTAAGTAAACTCTACCAAGCAATGATCTGGATGAGTCCATATTATTGTCTACAGTGGTGAAAGGGTTAACCAAGTTTAATTTTACCTCCAGCAACAGAGTACCAGGCGGCCCCGTTAGTGATCCCTCCCTGCTTGGCGAAGTCATCGTCCCCGGACATGTCACATGTGGGATGTTCCTTTGCCATCAAGGTGTGGTAAAGAGAATAGCTCTGAGCTAGGTATCTACAATGATAAAGGGAAATTATTTATGTTGAGTACACATCACACTGTTGTTGTATTAAAACTACATGCCAACTGTTCAGACCTTTCTAGCACTAAAAGACGAAAAATAATAATTTCATGTGTCATTTTGTATTGACTTAAAAATCTAAAGTGAAGTAACGAGAGTATTCACAGGACTTCTCATAATTCACTTTACAACAAGCAGAACCAGCATGGCTTTCCCTTTGCTTTAGATGTCCAGTTATTGTTCACCATCTATCATTGTAAGTATCTAAATTTAATATTTCTCGTGAATTTCTGATTGGCTCTAAAATTTACAAACCAGAGTACCGGTATACCTGAAAGTTTCGTCATCGGGAGACCCAGCATATGACTGTAGCTTATTGTTAAAACTTTCGTCAAAAGGATAGTTAGCTACCAAGTCACCACCGTGCAGGTTAGCAGACAAGACAAATGGGTTCTCCATGATGTAATGGATCAGTTCTATTGTTTCCGGCTGTAACTGTAAAAAAACAAAATAATCATGTTTTAACATACTATGTAGCATACACCATTTTAACTGGTGATAAGCCAAGGGGGGTCTGAGCATAAAAACACTTAAAAGATACAGGGGAGGGCTTATCACTGGATATGAGCCTGTGATGAGCAGTAGTGAACATCCTGAAATGCCTCTTATACCCAGCTTTCAGTGAAAGATGGAAAATTAGTTTTAAATTTATTGTTTTCTATTTATTCTGAATTGAAATTCCAGGCATGATATTTTGATAAAACTTTGAGAATACAACATACATGTATTTGAAACACTGTTTATTTATCCTGGTTCAGGGATCAACATTTTTAAAGATGCATTTCCATATATTTTGTGAAATATTTTCATAACTGGTTGTACAATTCATAGCTTATATATTTTACCAAGTGATCTCAAGAGAAAACATCTAATATTTTATGGGCTTTTAACAGTTTCTGCATGAAAAAAGTGTAGGAATATATGGCGCTATCTTAAACATGATGTTCTTCTGACAGTACACTTTACAAGGCTACACACCATTTTCAGTGAGCTACACAATGTACTCCACACGATTCTACAATTTTCTTTAATCTTCTGATAAGATTTGCTTACAAAAATGTAGTTACCCGGGTAAGTTAATATCTTAGTGTTTGTAGCATGATGCAAAGATTTACAAAATAAACCAATCAATTACTCTGCCATTGTGTTATCTGTATCTGTACAGAAAATCGGTGGTTTTGAAAGCAGTGAATAGAGAGCACTGTTGTGATTGGTCAATATCACAAGTGACATCTTCACACTTTCACTTTTGATATCTGTCGATGTGAAAGATATCAGTTTTATCAAGTTGACACAGAATTCTAAATCTCACTAGCAATTTTTTTTCACATGTAAATTTGTTATCCAGTGCCATTTTTATATCAGTTTGGTTTCCTACGACTTGTCACTCATCTATTCATAATTGGCTTGATATAGCCTTGATGAATACCTATAGCTGCCTGTGGTACTCAAAGTTCATTAGGAGTGGTCAATAGTTGTACGGGTATATCGTACACTTTCTCATGACTGCTGTTGTACTAGAAACAGCTCTACTTTACACACTGCACGAGCTATGGAAGAAACTTAAAACGTCACCATATGGTACACAGATGCGTGTACTTAACAAAATGCCAAATACAACTATCAGTTCTGGGCTATGTTTTATGAAATAATTCATGGATGACAAAAAATCTTTAAACATAAAAAACCCATCCCATTTTGGAGTAATGATCGCGGAAACAGTAAAAACAAATTAACTCTATGGTATCTTGTTCTATATGGAACGATCCCCATTATATCATCAATATAGCTGACTTGTCAGCCTACACATAAACCAATCTCCAACGTAAAATACCAGTTTGATATGGCTCTCCATTATAGTAGAGTCAAACTTTACCTGAAATGAACCAAGCTGGGCTTCATGCCCTCACACTGTTTATAAAATGTATAATTGGTTTATTTTAGAATCCGATCCTATATATATATATATGCTGGAACAGATTGGGGCCTATATCATCCTTTTGTTACGTATCTTCAAAGGGGGTGGGCTTAATAGCAGGCATGGTATTGTTACTGGTGAGCGGGCTAAATAGCAGACATGGTATCGTTACTGGTGAGCGGGCTAAATAGCAGGCATGGTATCGTCAGTGGTGAAACATAGTAGGATGTACAAAGCATCCTTATAATGTCGTTGTCTAACATGGCAGCATTGATGTCATGATTTAGTGTAAATCATCCACTCAATCAAGTCACAAGTAGTAGTATTATACCCACCATCAGTGTAGTTACGCTATACAGACGTAGATGTAATTACCAGTCAACTACTGGTAATTTACTAGAAGAGACCAAATGTGACTTGTTGCCATATATAATCAGTTATAAATTGATAATGGACCACACAATCAAATTATTTTTCAAAAAGGTATGTAGAAGCCCTATAGTTAACAGGGTTACAGTATTTCTGTGTATTAGGCAACAAAAGAATGTCAACCCTGTTTTTTCCCCATAACTAACTTTCAAAGATCACAAACAGCAGTTTTGGTAGCATTTTCAAAACAAAACAACATTTCAAAAGTTTATTTAAAGTTGTCCGAAAGGGCTCAATCCTAATTCGATGCTAATATAGTTAAAAACACTAGAATTGAATAAAATAACCATCCCTTGTACATGCAAATGCTTTCAATATCTGTATTAAGTTTGTGTTTAAATGATTTAAGATGTTACATTTCCAAATTTTTGTTGTTGCCAACTTGTTGAGACCATTAACAGCATTATTTTGCTGTTTTTAAACTGTGTAATACAGGTATGACGATATATATTTTTGAACATTGTAAAATATAACAATACCTGTACATCACATACAGGATTTCAAAAATTTAGGAGATTACCGGTAAGATACATTGTTGTTCTTGACTATCCTATACAAATAAATTTGACTTACATTTGGAGTTTTCAGGGCCTCTTCTTCACTTTTTATGTGGTGGTTTGGTCCATTACCAAGATGAAACGCTGGGTCTAAATCAGGGAAGTTTCTGTTCAAGTCGACGTTGTGCGCATTTGACCGTCCTTTGATCCAGTTGCGATGACCATCCTGAAAGAAAAGTTACTTTTGTAATAAGACATAATGGCTATAAAAATAATATACTTGTTTATCAAATAATTTTTGACAATAATGGTGACCTTGACATATGACCTTTTTACTTCAAATGCCATTCAATATTATTTCATTAACAAAACTTCTGGTAATTAAGGGACCAATTTGATCACATTAACACTAAAATTATATTCACAGTTGCAAAAATCTTTTGTGGGCCTGATTCAAGCAAAACGTGTAGGCCTAATTCAAACATATTTTGTAAGTCTAATTCACACATATTTAGTAGTCATAATTCAAATACTTTTTGTAGTCCTTATTCTCACACATTTTGTAGGCTTATATAATTAATTCACACACATTTTGTAGACCTAATTCACACACATTTTGTAGGTCTACAATTCACACATGTTTTGTATGGCAAATTTTCACAAAATGTATTGCCCTAATTCACACATAATTATTTCGTAGACACAATTTAATTCACACACATTTTGTAGGGCCAATTGAATTCACACACAATTTGTTGACCTGACACAGAATTTGCAGGGCTAATTCGTAACATATGTGCAGTCTCAAATTGTTACATACAGAAACACTAGAAGATAGCATCTGCGACACTGATAAGCTTAGGCCCACACTAATCAGCCAAGATTGTCTTACATGTCACTAACACTAGAGTACATTTAATTAAACATTATTTATTTGACAACAATTTTGAAACAAGTTCTATCAACATACATAGATCACTGTCGTTGGTCTGGCTGTTAGTGCACAGGGTTTTAATGTGGGAGGAAACCCACGTCCCCAGGAGAAAACCCACATGGTCGGACAGGTGACCCCATACATTTTCACAGCAGTACATGTATGTGTATTATAATGTGCAGTGTTTTGTCTTGTTCCTATCATATGGGTCTGTGCCTTGAGACTTTGGGATGATACCACAAAAAATATGGGAAAATAAAGTGATTTTTGTGATGAAATTGGGAAAATACAGCAGAAATCTTCTAGGGGAAGGGCCTTATATTATTATAATATGGTTTACCCAAAATTCACCCTTAAATAATCACTGATATGGATTGGGGACAATTATATCTTGCAGCCCTTTGTTGAATCACTGAAAAAATAACTTATGTTCACAAACTTAGTACAAATATATATGGTGAATATTGTTTAATTAATTACACTGAAATATTTTCTCTAAAAGTCTTAAATCTTAAAAATAATGCTGTTTTTTTTTTTTTCAGGCTCATCATTTTGAAATAGAATATATGTGGCTATTTACTTAGTGTGATGTCAGTACAGTTGTAAGTCACCAACTCATTGTTCGGTTGGTGAATATTATTTAACTAATTAACTATCATACGCTGAAAAATATCGCTTTCAAATGAAAGTCTTTTCTCCAAATGTCTTAAATTTTACAAATAATTCTGTGTTTCTTTTCTTTGGGGCTATCATTTTGAAATAGAACACATGTACATGTGGCATTTCACTTGGAGCGTTTTCAGTAAGTAAGTCACGAACTCATTGTTCGTTTGGTAGTTTAATTGACCACTTCACTACTGAACTCATTGTGTTGTTTGTCTATATAGGTGTACAGGTAATGGTTAATTCAATCAAATAAAAGTACTTTGAACTAACTATGTACAAAAAGGATTAGAGACCCAACAATCATTGAATAGAGAAATTCTGTTAAATTTATCTCTTGGGAATCACCTTTGTGAATAAACTTACGATGCCACTAGCTAACACATTACAAGTACTTATACATACATATCTAACACCCTATCGGCCATACACATGGATTAAATATACACTATAAGCCTGTGTTTTGTCATTTACCTACAATGTTATTCTGAAAACTTTTTTATTCTTTCTTGGCAAAGTCAATGCAGTTTCTGGCTTGTTTTACAAAGGTCAACATGTAAAAATGTACATATTTACATAATATGTTTTTTTTTTTTATCATAGGTGCTACGTGGTCCACATTTTTACCAATGAAAGAAATTAGCAATTGAAGTTCAATTTAATAGAATGGAAATTAAACTACAATATTAGATGAACACCTGAGTCTACAGAAAGGCAACTAGTCAAACCTGATCATCTGACCAACTCCATTAAGAGACCACTTGTACCATGTGTTAAGCAACTGTTTCGTTTTAGTAATTTCATGGTAAACTAAAACCTGTATTAAGTGACCACTTGCATTAAGAGGCCACTTTCAATGTTACCCATTGTAGCGATTTCATTGTTAATTGAACCTGTATTAATTAAGAGACCACCCTCTTAAAGAGACCACCCTCTTAAAAAGACCACCTGTATTAAAAGGCCACTTTCAATGTTACCCATTGTAGTGATTGCATTGTTAATTGAACCTGTATCAATTAAGAGACCACCCTCTTAAAGAGACAACTCTCTTAAAGAGACCACCTGTATTAAAAGGCCACTTTCAATGTTACTCATTGTAGCGATTTCATTGTTAATTGAAAATTGTATCAATAAAGAGACTGCCTGTATTAAGAGACCACCCTCTTAAAGAAACCATCTGTGTTAAGAGGCCATTTTTAATGTTACCCATTGTAGTGATTTCGTTGTTAATTGAACCTGTATCATTTAAGAGACCACCTGTATTAAGAGGCCACCTGTATTAAGAGACCACCTGTGCAGAGAGGCCAGTTTTTTGACTTTCCGAGGGTCATCTCTTCATACAGATTGGACCGTACAACCTTACATGAACACCTTTAACTTTGGATAAGTAACAACAACCTGACAAGAATAAGTGAATCCATGGAAGAGAAAAACCATTTGAATCTATGGCACTAACCTAGAAGTTCATACAGCTATTTGGGGTCGAATTTTAGGGTCCTTTTCTGGGGGTATANTTTCCACGTACGCCAAGGTCGTGAAGATCTTTCATGATGCCATATAGGGTATAGAGCTCAAAGTTTGTAATGTATAAACAGATTTAAGACTCTTTTTTTACCTTTCTTATCTTCAAATTCAGTTTTGATATATCTGATTTCATCATAGATTACATAATAGTTACATCAATATTATAGCAATTGCATTTCATCTATGATGCATTTTTTTCTTTTTTATTCCCAGGTGAAATCCATCAGTATTTAATGAAAGGGACTACGGAGGTATTTTTAGGACTATTTACTTTTACTGAGAGCTTTTTGAGAGATTAATCTTAAATTTCGAGTTTTTAGAACTAATACTTTCATTTTTCGACTACTTTAGGCAATATGCTTTGTGTGTTTTCTTCAAGACTGTACAAAACCTGTCAATATCATTATCCTACTGTAAGCTTACCCGGTATATTCAAAGATACATTATGTTACCAGAGATTTGCCATATACTCATTATAAAACCCATTTCCTTTTCATATAAGTATGATGGTTAATTCTGGGAAGTAAACCTGGCCTACATTTCAAGGGGAAAACAGTTAACAGTTTCCAGGCATGTCATATGGTCAGACCCTGTTTAGGAAATGTTATTGATTTCAATTAATTCTTTAACAACCCTACAGAATTAGTGTCACCAATTTATTAAAGAATTTCCAAGATTCTTCCTACGATCTAAACAAAACACTGTATACATGTACTTTCAAGAATTGATACTGTCCATCATACACAGAATCAATGACACGGCGGATACGGAAGACCACACCTAATCACTCTCTACACGATCTGTAGGAGTGTTGTCAGGGCTACCAGTGTGTGTGGGCAGAGGATCGTCAGGCTAGTACTAATCACTCTCTACACGATCTGTAGGAGTGTTGTCAGGGCTACCAGTGTGTGTGGGCAGAGGATCGTCAGGCTAGTAGCTGCTTCTATTGATTATTGAGTTAGGTGTGATTAGATCAATACTGAGGTAGAGACAGCTTATCCTTCCACTGAATACTCATGGCCCTGTCACTGGACTAACTAATACTGTAGTCACATATAACATTATGTATGTCAACACCCCAAAAAAACATTGTCATTGGGGTTTTGTTTGTTTTCTTTAATATTGTAGGTATTGAATTAAAATTTGAATCAAGACGCACATGGATTGATGCTGAAGAAAAGAAAAACAAAATGTTATTAACAACATCGGCTCAGTCCTGGTAGGTTGTTGAATGTATTTTTCAATATACCTAACAGACAATATAGAACTTATTGGGCGTAGCTTTATTTCCAGATATTAGGTCATTCAATGAGTTATTGCTATGTATCAAAAGTATGAGAGAGTTTTCAGATAAATTGGATAATTTTTTCACACAGAACACAAACTTGCAATATACGACAACATTTGTACAGTGTCACTGTATAACAAACATGTCATAAATTTGTTGAGGATTCCTTGCTTCATACTGTTATTAAATCTGGTACCTAATGTATTCCTGTATGTCATTCAGAGTAGATACATTTATTCAAACTAAAACCTGGTGATGTTGTTGAATAATTTAATTGATCAGGTGTACAGGAAATGAGATCCATGTACCTGGTACATACAATGTATATATGTAATACTGAAAAACATTCAGATAAGCAATTCTTTGTTAGACAAAATGTTCGCCTAATTGGTCTTTACACATACACAGGTAACAAATAATAACAAATGAATAGAAATATATAATTCAGGGCATAACATGTGTCTGACAAATTGTACACATTTATGCTTTACAGTAAGTAGCAAGTTTAAGCATTCTTCTAACCAAAAAGAGTTCCAATTTGTTTTAACATTTTTTCTGATTGGGAGTTGTATGCCCTTTTACTGTAACAGAGAGTTATTTAGGAAAGAAATATACTAAATATTTAATGAAATTTTTTCTTTTTTTCAAAACACATTTGCCATGGTAGCTTTTACTATATTATCAATATTTGACAAAGTGCTGCCTTCTAGGTGTATGGTAGTATCACCAGTATACATATCCATTTCACAGTGCTATCACAATATAATTCTATGGTGAATATATAATGAACATCAGTAGACAAAGATTAGATCTTAGAGGTTTGGGTTGTTTGGGTTTTATGTCCTATTAACCCTTTCATCACTGTAGACCATAATGGACCCTTCCAAATCAATGCACAGTAGAGTCTACTAAAGCTACGTGGGGGTGAAAGGGTTAAAGGGTCATTTAAGGACTTGGCGGTTGAGGAAAACCAGAGTTCCCGGAGAAAAACCACCGACCTACAAGGATCTTAGATCTGGAGGTACTCAAGTTTTTGTATTTCTGGGGTGAATGATGCAACAAAATTGATAACACAGTTTCTGAAATAACCTCCAAATTGGTGATTAATGAAACTAACAGATGTGATACAGTCTGGTTAAAAATATTATTGGGATATTAGTAGAAAGAAAATCCAAACAATTTTTATCAGTTTTGCAATAGCATAAAACTTTTGGGAATGTGCCGAGATGTTTTCAGCTAACTTTCATCCACAACTCACCCCTGCATGTCTGGGATCCCGAAAAGAATAAACCTGCTGTATTCACTATATGTTTCTTAAGCGACAACTTATGTAGAAACCCCCTGCAAAATTGGGAATTTGCTATTTGTGCCCTCTTTTTGGGTACACAAAAGCGACCAAAATAAATCTGCTGCTCCATTGCAATATTTGGGATCTTTGTATTTCTCTTTACTTCTAATCACCTTTTTATCCCCTAGCACCTTGCTTGGCAATACATCACTTTTGGCTATAATGTTGAGAGTCGCCAAGGATGATGCAGGCAATGGGCTCTGTCCCCAGGCTGGGACATACGAAAGTCCTTAAAAATGGTAGTTGTTATTCCCTGCCTAACGTTCAGCATTTAGGGTATTTCAGTTCGATAGCACTTTAAAGTTGGCATCAGATTCATGCTATCACAAGGAGGCACATACACCAATATACCCTGTCTCTGGTGCACATACACACATGCACGAATACACAACACATATGGAGACATGTCCTTAAATGACCTTACCTTTTAAAAGTAAGTTAAACCATGTACAAGTACCAACCAACCAACCTTCCATAACTCTCACAAGAACCTTTGTATCCTTTTGGTACGTTAGTAAAACGCATGTACTATTTTAGGCCATATAAAAAGGTACACTGTTTAGTTTGTCATAAAAAAAAGCTGATTAACCTTCATTTAACCAAGGTACCATTTTCTATACAGAAATGTTTACCTTTGGCAAATTATACCCGGATAGGGCCTGGTTCAAACTCCCTACGTATACACATACTGCAATCTTCTATTTCAATCTTCCATTTCTTTATTTTCAATCTTCAATCAAACACTTTTCTTACCTTATCTGCTGGACTTGCGTTAGCTGCCTCCCATCCGTCAGGGTTCATGGTAGGCATGATGTGTATGCGGGTGTGTTGGATGAGCCAGGTTATCGTTGCATTACCTGACTTATACTGCTCACACATGTACATTCCGAGCTTTAGTAATACCTCACGCCCCACTACCTCGTTTCCATGCATGTTTCCCACATACTTAAACTCTGGTACACCTGCAATAGACAAATTAAGTTTACCATCAAACATTAAGTCAGGCACACCTTTAGAAACTTTAAGGATGTCATCATGACCTCGTTTCACACAACTTCAGTGTATCGTACCAGCTCTAAGCCCATGAAGCAAAAGAAAAAGAGGGAAGAAAAATAGATCAGGAAAAAGAGGGGTAACATGTTTCAACAAACAAAAAATTTCACACTTTAAAAAATTACTTATCTAATGAATAGACACGTTTACACCAGAACTGGTCCATATACAGTTAACATGGTTATTTATGCAGGGTGAAAGTTATGCTATCTGAAGGTCAAAATCATGCATTCAGCGATAATTTTCCGGTATTAACATTAACTTATATAATATTCAGAATATTATAACTCAGAACATCCTGCAAAAACCTTACACAACAGTATATTTTCATGGTTTAGGTAAATATTTCTAGATGGATAAAACTAAAAGGTGAACTATTCATTTCTGATTCCAAGAAAACTGTTTTTTGTTTGTCAATTTGAAGTTACAAATACAGTCTGTGATTACATGAGAGACTGGAGAGAGGAGGTGGCACAATTAACACCAACATCTGGTCAATTACACTCTATCAATTGAGCTAGACAGCTATAAAGACCTATATAGCTATATTCACCTATAAATTATAGCTGTATTTTATGAAAATCGAAACATTCCGATAGTTTGGGGACTTTTTTGGAATAAATACAAAAAAAATGAATTTTCGTCAATTTTAATATTTTCCGTTTTTTTTTGTGTGTGGCATTGTTCGGAACAATAACAACAATAATAAAATGAAAAGAAGCATTTCTAATTAACCCTACAAATATTTTATTTATCGCAAAATATGTAACACATGTTACACAAAGTTTTTTTAATGAATTTGTACGGATAAAAGTGATTATCTACAAGCTAAAAGTAAACAGGACACACAGATCCATACATATAGAATGGGAAATTGAACAAAATGTACACAATGTCTTTATAATTAATTTATTTGACATTTTACAATCACTTTGATCCGGGTGAGAGTTATCTTCCTTGAAAAAAATTGGAACTTTTTGTAGAGGGGTGACATTTACACAATGACAGTTGTCTCTGTTTACATATAACAAAAATGATTGAAATAAATCAAAAATATGATATCAAAATTATCAATTTATTGTTCTTTAATGGAACCAAATTACCCTCAGTCATGTACACTTTGGACATCATTCCACAGTCCGCTAACTCACGGTATATTTATAATTACATGTCAGGTACATATATGACCAGAGGCTATCGAATGGTATGCCGTTCTCACATGCACTCACACATGCATTTCATAGGTATCTTGATATTTTACAAAACGTTATTTTCACAGAGTAAGTAAACTACATTTGTAAACATGATTAAATCGACAGCCCGGGCTTATGAACTCGTGTAAGCACGTGATATGCACATGTGAGGTCGGTACATCCGCATTCTATGCGTTTCCTATATGACCTTCTTGAGGTCGTCTGGTCTCATGTCACTGTCTTCCCGTGAGTCTGTTTATGTCTATGAATTGGAAAGCTTTATTCCTGAAGTACGTGTGATTATACATTTCCCGGTAAAATCTCGATATCGGGTGTTGACATATCATCGGCACGCACGTGTACTATTGTTTACCAGG